AAGCTTTTGCGTATTCCAACACCCTTGGGACCAGAAATTGGAAACCTAAACTTTATTGTTGACGTCCCCAATGCAGCAGTTTTTTGGTGGTCCAAGCAAGGACCGTCATCATCTGAGAAGCTCAAGTTACCTTCACCATGATCCCAAACAATAAATTCCTCAGTTTTATTTCTGATATTTATCAGATCTCTTTACAAGACAGAGTTATCAAGCTTAGGCTTACAAATGAGGGAGTGAGAATTAAACAGACTTCTCTTCTTCATAAAGTCGACCCATATACCTTTTCTGGCTCTATGTTTAACCCACAACTTGCAAAATTAATTTTAGTAGATTGCTTAAGAGTTCTGAAACCCAAACCAAGATCACTTTTTGGTTTACAACGTTTGTCCCAACTAATCTAGTGTTTGCCTTTACCCAGACTAGACCAAAGAAATTTATTAAACGCTCATTCAATTTTATGCTGCATGCTGGTCATTTTGGCAATTTGGAGTATGTGAAGGGGTAAGCAGCAAAGAACATGTTGAAGGAGGGTGAGCCTGACATCAAAAGAAAGGAAAGAATTTTCCCAGCTGAAAATTTTCTTCTGAACTTTGTGAGTCACTTCCCCAAAGATTAAGCTATTTTTCATTGTAGGATGGAGTTGAAAACCTACGTATTGGATTGGAAGATGAATGATTTTTGTGCCAGTAAAGTGAGTAATCCATTGTTTGTTGTTAATATGAATACCATTACCAGTGAACCACTCACACTTGTCTTTATTCAATGTCATACCGATTATTTGCTTAAAGTAAGAGGGAATATTGGAAATCTGATGAATGTTCTTTTTCCCCATTTTGAAAAATTTATGAAGTCATCTACGTAAGCAAGGTGGAAGACAAGTTCATAGCCATTGGATTTAAATCGGCCATAGGGTGATTATTGAAATAATGATTGAGCTTAACTCAGAGAGGAAAGCAATAGCAATGATAAATATAGTAGCCAATAGAGGGTCCCCCTATTCAATTCCTCTCCCAACTTTGAAATAGCCATGCATATCTCGATTAATAATCAAAGAATAGAAGTTATTTTCTAGGAAATTAGAAACTAGAGTGCAGAAATCATTAGTAAAGCCTCTTGCATTAAGAACAGTAAGAATAAATTCCCATTTGATTGTATCATCCGCCTCGGAAATATCTAATTTGTGCATCCCATTGCCACCTCTACATTTGATATCCAAATCTTGGATTAATTCTTGAGAAATCAATATACTATCATAAATACGTCTGCCTGAAATGAAGGTAGTCTGCTGAGGGCTGATCAACTCATCAAGAATTTGTTGGAGTCTACAAACAATGATTTTGCTTATAATCTTGGAGATCACAATTGTCAAACTAATTGGCCTGAAACTTTCCCACTTGCGATTAAAGTATTCTTTAGGGATAAAAACAATAGCAGAAGATTTGAAGTAAACGTGGGAGACCCCCATTAAAAAAATTCTGCATTGCTGGGATGACATTACCTTTCACAAGGTCCCAAGATTCCACATAGAAGTAGGAAGTGAAACCATCCAAGCTAGACACCTTGTTAATGTCAATAGATTTTAGTGCATGCCAAATTTCCTCTTCATCGGGTGTGGAATTAAAGTGAGGCTGAGCAGTAATTTTAGGAGAGTGAGGGAGAATGTCATTATCAAATTGTTGCAAATTAACTTGTTCAAATTGAAATAAGTTCTGGAAATAGTTCAGAGCGCTATTAACAATTTATTATTGATGGTATATCCGAAGACCCATAGCATCCTTGATTTTAAGAGTGGCCTTGTTTTGTATTCTTTGCTTAATACATGCATTGAAGAATTCAGTATTCCTGTCTCCTTCAACATGGCTCAAATAATTGGATTTTTATTTGTGAAAGTATATTTCCTACCAGAAAAATCATGTGTTGAAACTTATTCCGAAGAAAGTAAGCCACACAACACAAGTATTTGTGTCAAGTAATAATACGGTTAAAGAGTACCACGTATCAATCCTACGAGGAAGTCTTAACAACTATTTCAGCTAAAAAATATTTAGTCTACGAATCGGGTAAACCTAATTTGGTGGTTTCACAAAGAAGGTTTGAATCCTAAAATCCTAA